TCCCGGAGCAAGGTCATCACCTCTGCTCCTTCAGGAAGGCTCTTTCCACAGGTAAAGGCTGAATTTACATTTGCATGTAAAACATGTCCTGGCCTTCAGTTACTATCACCTATGTCCTTATGCTCAAAAGATTTATGCTTAATAAAAGAAACAGAAAAGCAGCTTTTAACCCCGCCAGTATAGTCCTCCTCTTTCTTCATAAGAAGAGAAAAGAGTTTGGGTAAAATTCCAAGTAGAAGAAACAGGCTTCAAAAGGATCCTTCTCACACTTATGACTGTGTTTCCCACAAGAAATAAAAAACACAAATACCAAACACATAACAAAACAAAACAAACCCCATAACACAATGAAAAAAACCCACCCAAGTAAAATTTATTCTGTTTTAGCAACTTCACTCTCCTACTAACTCCCTCAGGTTTCCTGCAGGATCAAATTCAAAGAATTTGAATTCACTGTCTGCACAAAACAAACTAGAAAACAGTTTTAAGAGGCCACTTTGGAATCTGTCCAGGAGTTAAATCCTTCATAGCACCTGCAGCATCCTGGTGACATAGAGAGCAAATTCAATTACCCACTAGCCCAGTGAGTTATAGTGCAAAATCAGAACCTGAGAGACAGCTTCTGGGAGATTTGTTTCTAGGCAGTCTGTTGCCTGCTATTCCATGCTTTAAACTTAGAATCAAAATTTGTACAGGTTTTCAGATTTTTTTTCCCCTGCCCTCTGCTGGCGAGAGGGTGAGGGTTCAAAACATAGACGGAGAATGCAAACACAAAATCAAGAGACCTTGCCCAGTGTAATCAGTTCTTCATTTCATATCATCTGATTTAAGGTGAAGCAAGAGGGAGCATTCATTTAAGCAGCTATAAATGAAAAAAAGATTGATTGAAAAGTAATTTTTTTCTCCGTTTCTTATGGAAAAGAGTCACAGGTGTCTGTTTTTCTTATATTTTCTTTTTAATGGCTGTTTCCTTTTCAGCCCATAAGATTCAAGGTCAGCTCCAGGTCAGATTGCACTGAGCCCAAGATGCTCAGCAAGTTCAAACCCAGCTGTGGCATTCCTCTCCCTCCTGTACTGCACTGGGTTTCCATCCTGGCATCCCAGCCTGGAAATCTCTATTAGAGGCTTGGGGTACAAATTTTCATTTCTGCATTTAGATGGCGCAGTGGACGCTACACTGGCATATCAACAAATGACATCCTGCTAACAGAACATGCTAAATCAGTGGGTGAAATACATGTCTTGGTACATCTAGACATGTTTAACCTTGGAATTACTGACTGCTGGAAAAAGTCAGAGCATACAGGATAAAGTTAAAGGTAGGAGTGTCTCCTACAACTTTCTGTGGATGTGAATAGTGAGGGACAGTTGCTTTTCCCCACAAAGAATATAAATCTAGCAAACATAGGAAAGAAAATAAGACTCTGAGAATATTGGGGACTAAAAATACCCCTGTTACCAAGTCTTGGATAAAATCCAAGGCTTTTGAAAGCTGCCTTATGGTCAGTGTTTAGAGGGTAGGGGTTTGCACAGTTTATTAGTGCACACTGTTACCTGACATCTGTAAGAGTTAGCTTATTTGCCTTTACAGTAAAGTATGGAAGAGAAAACAGCACACATTTTCTTAAAGGAAAATACTGTGGAGGAGAGAAATGAGGAAAAGTATCTAAGAAAGGAAAATAATCTAAACCCACAACTTCAGAAAAATCCCTCAGAAATCTGAACAGCCCGAGAGAGATGAGTTCAGGCTGTAAGATGAATTTGCACTTCTTTGTGCTCACTACAAAAGCCCTTCAGGAGCAGCAGTGATTCCAGTTGGTTTAAAAATGGTCTCTGAGAGCAAAATGAAAACAAATCCTCTTAATCCTGGACCCTACTCCTACTTACTCATCCCTAGAAGTGGTACAAACATCAGTGCTTGTGGTGACCATTATCATCTGAGGAGGAGAATACCACTCTACCTTTGGACTGAAAGGTACTCATGTAAATATTCTGAATATACTCTCTGATGACTGGGTCTCCATTTCCAGCCCTATAGCTCCACCACAAGCAGTTAAGAACCACCAGGAAAACTTCCTAAAAAGGCTAACAATTGTACTAACTCTTAAAAGACCAAAACAGGAACAAAAGGTTCTTAATCCATCTTTTTATGAAGAGGCCCTCCAGGGTTTTGTGGCAGCTGCAGCATGTGTGAAATATTGCAGCATTTGTTTGTAACCCTGGATGAGGTGCCTGATGATTCTGAGGAGGTCTGGCTGCTGCTGCAAGCACTCCACTGTTGGAAGGTGACAGAAATGTCTATCCAAGTTTAAAATACTGGCACATTTTCAGGAATGAAGGGCATTTGTATCCAAAACTCAGTTTTCAGTGGATTCTTCATAGTAGAATATGAAGAAGAGTGACAGAGAAACAATTTTGAACAGAGAGATGACAAGCTTTTTCTTCCCCCATAGGAATACAAAATCCTTGCTTAGATTCATAATATGTGGGTAAAGTGGAGGACAAAGGATCAAAAGACAGGCACAAGCATCTCATGATATATTAAACTAGAAAACTTGCTTCTCAGGGGCTTTGACTAGTCATAAACAACAACAGCAACAACAAACCCCAAAAAACCAACCAAATAAACAAACAAACCCCCAAAAAAACCCCAAAGAAATGGGGGCTGTAATAGGTAGTTTCTGCCAGGCCCCAGGAAACTCCTGTTTGTAGTATACAGCTAAAAATCCCTCAGCAAAAAACCAGGCCAAAGAGGGCAAGAAGGGAGCTGGCCAGCCCAAAGACAGGTAGAAAAATGAGTAAAGAGTCAGATATTATCTTCAGGCTTTAAAGAAAACAGTGACTGAACTGAATAAAACCAAAGATCAATGTGGAAAAAATGAAAACCAAAAAATATAAATCTTTTTGCTCATTCTCTATTCCCCTATGGACTGATTCTACAAGCTTGGGCAGTCAGTTCTGGTCTTCCATCCACGAAATGCTGCCTGCTCCTGGGGAATCTTTGGGACCAGTTTCCAGATCTTAATACTCCAGGTGGTGAGCATCATCAAACATTCCAGAAGAAATCTCTCCACCACGAAAAAAAATAGTCCTGACATGTTCCATATGCACTGAGCTGGCATCTGGATATAAAATCTGCAACACCTAACTATGCCAAAAAGCTTCCTGAGACTCCAGAAATAAAATTCCTAAGTGTGCCCTCAACTTGACTGCCAGAGGAATCTTTTTTATCCCTTCTTTTGATCCTCCCACACAAAAGTTTCCAAAGATGGAGCAAGCACCCAATTTCACATTTGGCAGTGCTAGAAACAACGCTGCAGTGGCCTTGAAATGTTTGACATTTCCACTTGTCTGGATGCTAGCTCTGCACAGGAGGCAGCTCTGCCTGCACGGGGCAGGGCTCAGTGCAGAGCCCAGAGCCTGTGGCTCAGGGTGTCAAGCAGGAGCTGTAACTCAGCCACAGCAAGTTTCTCATGTGCTTTGCCAAAACTGATACCTTCATACCTCCTTGTTATTTTTCTTCTATTTCCTACTTTTTTTGTTTGGGTTTTCTTTGGTTTTTTTTTTTTTTTTTTTTTTTTTTTTTATTACAAAGCACAAAGTTTCCATGAGACAATCAGAGCATGACTTCTATCTAGCTGTTTCATCAGGCTAAGCATGCCACATGCTTTTACACATCCTTTTTTTTTTTTTATTATTTCCCTTTTGAATAAACTCTCCATTATCAAAATAAAATAACATCATTTACAAAGCACCACCTCAGCAGCATGCCTCAGCTTTCATTTCACAGGGCTATGCCAGCAGCCACAAACAGAATCAAAGCAGCCAATTAAAAATCCATATTCATTAACAAACATCATGTGTGCTATAATGCCCTGCATTGACTGTGGCACGGCAGGAGATGGGAAACTCGCTGAGTTTTCCTGCTCTCAGTCTGAAGCATTGTTTTATTAGAGGAAGGGTTTTACCTTTGCTACTCCAGGCCAGCAAGGAGAGTGTCCTGCAAGCCCATGGGGCTGGGGCAGCAGAGGGGGCAGCTGCTGAGCTTTTGCCTCAATGATGCCAGACACAGCACCTTGCCAGGATGAGGAGCACACAGAGAAGGCCATGAACGTGTGCCAGACCCTCCCCACCGAGGTCTTTGGGTACCAGCAGGGCCAATGGCAATGGAGTCTGTGGCCCCATGAGCAGACAACATAATAAACCCTGCATATGCTTGATTGATGCAGCTCATCGGCTCAGCAGGGCCAGGTCCAAGCTGCTGCAGTGAATTACCAAATTGCCCTGGCTCCAGGGGAGCTACTTTGATTTACACCATCAACACTTCACTGCTGCAGACAGTCACGTGCATAAGTACAATATTTCAGGCCTGTACAATGAAGTTATATGAAGGCGTGTCAGGGTTATTTATTTATTTGCACCCACAAGCCTGAGATTTACAACTCTTTATAAATACAAGCTGGGCAATTTGCTTTCTATTTTTAGCAGGAATGCTTTGTGCAGGAAACAGCTGTCAGCCACTGGGAGCTGTGCTCCTCGGAGCAGCAGCTTCAGACAAAGAGAGGCCTCTTAGAATTCAACTGGAGAGCTAGGGTCACTGCTTTGTGATGGAAAAGAAGCTGGAGATGGTACATAGCAAGAAAAAAAATAAGTAGTTAACAGAATAAACCCCAGAAAAAAATGGGCTGGAAAAGCTCTAAGAAAAGGACCTTTACACAAATATATTGCATGTGATTGTGACTGCCTCATTCCTCCCAAACAGCTTCAGAGCCCAACTCTGTCCAGTTCTGACCAAGTTCAGCAAACCTCCACAAGTCTTGGACCCAATTCATTCCTACAGCCTCAAAGAAGATGAGATTTAGATGAGAGATTCTGCTGATATCCTCACTGTGGAAAAATCTGCCACATCCCCTTTCAGAGCCAAAGCTATCCACATTGGGCACATGCACCAGCAGGAGATCAGATCCCAGCAGATCTCTCAGCTTGGAGCAGACACTCACCTTGGCAGACGAAGGAAGAGGGTGTTTCCCCAGGATGGACCCGTGCTGTGATGAACACCACTTTCTGTTCAGCCCCTGGACGCAGGTTTGCTGCAGCAGAAAGGGGCAGGGGACAGAATGGGGGGAAAAAAGAGAAATGAAGATCATTAAACTGTGCCTCAGATGTAGAAGCAAACAACTGCAAATTTCTAAAACACATCCTTTCATTAGAATTGGTCACACATTATAAACAAGAACAATCTCTAACCAAAGGGGCAGCATCACCTAGTCTCCTTCCCAGACTGCACAATGGGTGCAAGACTAATGACATGCAGCCAAACCTGCAACAACAAATTTAGCTCTCTTTTTAAACCCCAAGATTTACTGCAGAGAGTTTAACTGCACTGTAATTGTGCTCTCACTCATGATAAATGTCCCCCTGGGCCACAGGAATAGCACTGGGGCTCCAGTCAAGGTAAAGCCAATTGCACCCTGCATTACACTTGGTCCAAGCCTTAACAGTGCCAGGCAATGGCAAAGTGCTACAAATTATATTTATTAGGCTTTGCTCTGGAGGATTTAGAGGTGTTTTTTAAAAAATCTGTTAAGTGTTTGGGACTGCATCTGCTCTAACTGAAAGAAAGGTTAAAAAAAAAAATACAGAAAAGAGACCAAGATTAAATCCAGGAACCTTCTCCAGTGAGGTCATGAAAATGTGCCATTTCCCCTTCAAATTGCAGATAGGTGGAAGATAGATTTAGATCCTAGCTCTGCTGAATTTAACATGGATTAATCCCTCAGTTTTGAACCACACCACTTTGGCCACCTGCTTCAGCCATAAACTACATGGGTCAACCAGGATCCTTCCTTTGTTTGTGCTGTGACTGCATTTAATAAACAGCAAATGAAAATTATGCTCTTGCAAAATGGGTTCTGGGAATTTTAAAGACTATAAGAGGTCAGGACCTCAGTTAGATGTCTTATCTCAACCTGAACACACACAGCAGGGGTAATGCTAAACACAGCAGGCTCCAATTGCTAGAGACAATTTAAATCTTTGTTTTGAAGTAAAAAGTTTACAGACTGGAAACTAAAGCCAAGCTTTTTTTGTTTTTTTTTTAACTTAGTTTATTCTGTTTTAATTAGGTAGATGCACTGCACGCATATCCAAAGTCAGACTTTTATTTTCAAAGATGTGTGAGAGTCCCCAAGACCATACCTTAGTTATTTTTTTTTAATTTCCCAAATTCTTATTTCCCAAATTCCTAGAAATGGTCCATTTTCCCCATGGCACATCATACCTTACAGAACCATAGGAATAATCAATACAGTTTTTGCTGTTCTCAGGAGACAATTGCAGCAGGTTTCTTCTTTTATTTCCTTAGCATCTCAAAGTCCTGCAGCTGCTCTCCCTATAACTCAGCCATTCATTTGTTCTTTCTCACACCAGCTTCACCATTCTCTGATGTTTTTGAACTCCAGAGGCAAAGAAATATAAGAAAGAAAGTCTCTGCCAAATCCAGCAGCTGGTGGGGTCAATTCTCTGGGCAGAAGAAAAGTGGGAGGCAGCAAAAAGGAGCACAACCCCAGCAGGTAGGAGTCAATGGCCGTCCCACATTATTTGCATTAATGTTAAGTAGTGTGGGCGGAAGGAGATAAATCAGCAAACCAACTTTGAGGAACAAAAGGAGAAGGCTGGGATCACTTTAGCAAGAGGAGATGAGTTTTCCTCCCCTCTTGAAAACCAGAATTGCATTAGAGGGACTGTGGCTCAGCACAGATGTGATGCTCAGCACCATGACTGCCACACTGGAACAGAGCTGGTCAGGAACCTTTTGGACAGAGGATTGGTTTGGGGTGTTTTGTGGCTTTGTTTTCAATTGCAAAGTTGTTGTTTTTTATGCTTCATAAGACTTATTAGAATCATTATTATGATCAATAATTTTCACTATGCAAGTCTATTTTAATTGGCAATAAATTAAAACCCCCACAAGCCAACTCTGCTTTGCCCCCAGTGACAATTAGTAAATGGTATCCTTGCCTTTCTCTTGACCCATGAGCCTTTCCTTTTTATTTTCTCCCCCTATCCTGGATAAAAGGAAGCAGCTGTGTGGGCATCTGGCTGCTAACCAAGGTTAACACACTAAACAACTACAAAACACCATTTCATTTTTTAATTTAAATGTTACATTAGAAATACATCCTATTTCCTACTTCAGGATTGAAAAGATCAATCAAAATTAAGAAGATTAGAAGTGTATAGCTTTGCTTAGTAGGTGCCAAAAACACTTAAGCAGAGTGACAGAAAGGCACACTCCATTTAGCCACAGCTTTGAGACTTGTAGAAATGCAGAGAAATCTGTTGTGATACCACTTTTACCCTTCTGAACACCATGGTAGTGAATCTTAGAAACAAAACTCTTTGACAAAACAGGTTTTTTGGAAAGAAAGGAAAGAAAAGTAGACACATGTGTAATGGTTCCTTTTTCATTTTCTTTTCTGGAACATATCTTGAAGATTTAAATGAACATTTTCCCTTCCCTTTGAAGGCTATCCACTATCATCATCATGGATAATATTTGCCTTGACTTATGACTGAGACCTAAACAATCTGTCACTGTGTGTTACAACCTGGTGTAACTGCTGCTCACCCACTGCCATCCTGCCCCTGCTCAGAGGAGAAATCCCCAGAACAAAGCTGTGGAGATCTGAGATGCTATTCAGAGCAATCAACACCAACCTCAACATCTATTCTGGCTCCCCAGCAAGCACAGTAGGGATAAACACCAAGCAAATTTCACACTGAAAAGAAACTCAATGGGCTGCAAGAAAGCAGCTCAGGTCTCTCATTCTGAATACCACTTGTCCTGTTTGGCCCCCAACCCATGTCCCTTCCCCTCTAAAGCTTTGGCATGTCAAGCCAGTCACTTAACCCCACTGGCAACACTCCCTCAGCTCTCACCCAGGAAACAGCAATTGCCACTCCTGGTTCCTTATTATGCTACTGCAACTAAAGCAGGGCTGCACAGAAAACATTTTCTTCTTACAAAGAGAGAGTCAGATCGAATTCTAAACCATCACGGGAAGGCAAGAAATTCACTTGGCCATTTTCAGTCAATTTTCATTTTAATGCTGCTATAAAAACATTAAAATGATAGTATTTGTATACAGCAGCTTAATGGTAGGTATCTAGAACATTCAAGCAGAAATATTAAATTTGTGGAATTCCATTTGCACCTCAAAGATTAAGTACTGTAACAGAACTGAGGCAGAACATCACTCCTCAACCTCCAGGATCTTTTCTGCTACCTTGTCAGACCAGAATCAGACTGCAGATTTGTGGTTTCTTTAGGTCTTGCAGCCATGATGTATTTTATGATTCATGTTCACAAATTAGCACTAAGGAGGAGAGGTCTGACCCTGAAAGTCTGGCTCAGAAAGCCTTGAGGCTGGTGCCCATCAGGAGAACTTGGGAGTGAATTTCACTCCTTTGCAGAGGACTTCAAAGTTGAGAAAGGTACTAGAAAAATCTTGTCATCTCTGGAAGACCAGAAGGCTATAATCCATGGGAATCCATCATCCTGCAAACATATGGCCAAATAACGATGTGATTTAAATACCCACATATATTTTAATGGAATGTTATCCACTGCAAATGAATTCCATATTGCCATCCTGTCCCAGGTACTTTGCAGTACGAGGTGGGCTGCTGACAGCATTTTTTTATACAAAACTCTGCGAGTTAAAGACTCCACAGAGGAAATCAAACAGCTCTATTGCATTACCCCCCTGTGTGCCACCCCAGCCCGTCTGTACCCAGCACAGCTGGAACATCTGTGTCGAAAGCGAGCGCCGGTGTCGGCGCTGCTCCGAGGGCCTCACCTCCACCACATTAACCTGCTTCAGCAAATCAAATCCAAGCAGCATTTACTGTACTCTGGTTTTTCCTAAGAGACCAGATCAGCAGCTAATCCCATTTATTTTTGCTCCTTCTGGCCACAAATGTCATTTCAGGTAAGAGAGTGCATCTCAGCAATGCAAGAGTGCAAAGGAACTGAATTTTTGGTCACTACTGAATCCCACTGGACTTGGTGAGGTCAGATTTTCTTTCTCACCTTCTTATAGTTGGCTTCAGCAGAACAAAGAAACTAAGAGGGACAGAAGGTAAAAATGATGCCATTTGTGCCACGAAGTGATGAGCAAAGACTGGACTACGGGTTCTGGCAGTCAGACACCCATTCCTGTGCAGTTTTAACTGAAATGGGAGGCAGCAGTATTTTGTCTCATGCAAAAGCCATGGAAGGTCAGGTCTGTGATGGGGTAGCACTGCTACAGGGGACCCTCACCTCCCATCACCTTCAGTCTGTCCTGCCTGGGGTTTTTTAAGCAAAACCTCCTTTGTGCAAGGACCATCTACTCAGCAATGGTCCTGCATGTAATGCTCAAAACTGCATCCAAAACCTTCCAAGTTTTGGGTTTTCATTCAGGCTCTGTCCTTGACTCTGTCAGGTGCTTAAGTACATGATTTGTTGGACGGACTTGCATCGTGCTCAAAAATGTGCTTAACCATAATTTTGGCATGAGAGCTGTGCTGAATTGGGGCTGTTTTGCAGGAAGCCTGCCTCTGAGATCATTGTCACAATGTTTTAAAGTTGGAGATTGTGCAACTATTATCCTTTATTGCTCGTTTTATGCCAAAGTCTCCCTTTCTTTTTACATTCCCCTTAAAAGCGAAGCTATTTTGGAGCATTTAATATTATTTAATCTCTTTACTCTGGCAGCATAGAAATTACAGGAACCATTACAATGGTCCTGTGTGAGCGTATGCTTTATTGATGTATATGCTGACCTAATATCAAATTGATTTTACTCAGCTTTTCTGCTGACCATGGAAAAATGCAAATTGGGTATTATATTTGCACACTAATTTTATTGGGCCCCTGTGTCTTCATAAAAAGATAAAGTTTGGACTAATAAAAATAAAACATTTCTGGGGCTAATATAGGCAAATGTTTATGTAGGCAGGTAACAAATTGGTTTGTCATTTAGGAGAACATAAAGAGCACTAAAATCATCTTTAGGCAAAATAGATTGGTGGCTTTTGCTTAGCT